CTGTATTACAGTGGGAGATTTTTAGCTAATGCATCAACATCTTTAATGATTATATTTCCATTCAGATTTTCTATTTCATTTTGAGTGAGGTTTTTGTAAGTTACGTTTTTCTAAGAAATTATCCATTTTGTCTGTTTTCAACTGTATTAACATAGAACTGTTAAGAGCATTTCCTCCTTTTTATTGATCTGTGTCATAGTTATATTTTTTTCACTCTGAAAATTAACTGTGCCTTTAAAAAGACTGTGCCTGTGGTTTACCTATTTTATTATTTCCAAATAACTGCTTTGAGTTTGTTCATCTTGATTATATATTCGCTTTCAATTTCACTAATTTGTCCTCTTCTTGTAGTTTCCTTCCCAGTACCACTCCTATATTCAAGTAAGATGGGCCCTGAACATCAAAATAAAAAAAATAACAATAATAAAAACAAATTCATTAAAGATGATGAGGCTGCAAATGTCACTTTAGATGTAACCCACTTTGTGATACACAATATGTTCGTTATGATTCAGTTCTATTTTTTTGGTATCCGTTACAATTTCTTCTGTGATCCATAAGTTATTTAGAATTATGTTTTTATATCTCTTGATTACAGGATTTTTTTTAGCAATCTTTGTTAATGATTTCTCACACTTCAGAATGACTTCATCTGAGGGGCAAGAAACATTTGCGGAGAGCGGCTCCCAACCTGGCACAGGGGCAGAGCAGCTGCTCCCCTATGCAAAGGGCTGCAGATCCTGTAGGCAGGAAGCTGGAGAGGGCATGCAGACAGGGAAAGGTCAAAGGTCGGGGGAATATGGGCAGGGCACCGACAGTTCCTGCTACACCGAACCCCGGGCAACTATTTTTATTCATTTCCAGTGTACTCTTCCGTTGTTTCATTCTTATAACCTCCTTGCTTTATGCCACAGATAGCACCAAATAACACTGTTTGGCACCTTACATTCTGTCATTTAATGTGTCTCAGAGAGGTCCCTATAAGTGTGCACAGAAAGGTTTCTAATTCAGGTTAGAGTTGTGCAATATTTCAAGAATGTAACTTAACTTAGTTAACCAGTTTCTTTTATGAAAATTAGGCAACCAGAGCCTCAAAGCCAGCTTCCCACTCTAATTTCCAGATCCCTCTTCAGATCTTCTTACTTTGCTCAGCTATGGACTTAAAAGAAAATGGGCTACACTTTACAAAGCAATTCTAGATGTTTCAGAGATGGTGGGTTTTCAGGTCACCAGGCAACTATGTTGCTCAAAATGGAAGACTAATCCAGGCTCTTCCCAGCCTTCCATCAGCCATTTTTGGCAGCCCAGGCGTTTAGCCCTCACCTTGTCACCTCATGTTACAGACAACACAACCACATTCAAACGGAGGAAAAGAGAGATGGCTCTCTCCTTTCATAAATTAAAAACAAAAACAAAAACAAAAAACTTTGTTGGAAGAACCCTCAAAGGTCATAAACTAATTTGCCAAAACTTAGTGACTGACCAGCTCTAGCTGCAAGGAAAGCTGAGAAAATCTGGCCGAGAGCGGGATTATCATGACCAACTTAAGTCAATTGTGCTTCGCTCCCAGGGGCTGGGTACATAGCCACCCCAAAGAAAACTGTGATTCTGTTAAAAAGAAAGGACTGTTAAGTAGTCAATGATCAGTATCTGCAACAATACCTCAGATGGAATGAAAAACATAATTGGAAGATCTGAGAGTGAAAAATGATTTTAATTGTGATTCATTTCAGTCAAGATACTGCAAACAGAAAACAAATGAAACATCTGACGCCTAATCTAGGTATATTTTAATAAAGTACAAATATTTGACCCTGGGACTAATGACTCATACATTTCAGAACACAAAATTTAAGGCACATCCTCAGAAACATTTTGTGAAGTTTCCAGAAGGCAAAGCTTTAGTATAACCTAAACATTACAATAATTACCAGCTACTTTTGAGAAAAATAACTGGTGGAATTTTGTAATTATAATAAATGTGAATCATTCCAAATTCACATTTAGAATCAGCTCTAAATGTGAATTATGATATATTCTTTTAGCTATCAAGATAAAGTACAAACTGATTAATTGAGCTGAAGCAACTACTCTTTTAGTAATAAAATATTTTCCAGGTAACAAGCTTATGACAATAACAACTACACGTACAGAAGTTAGAAAAATAACATGTGTATCATGTATCTGCCTTCAAGGTCTTTCTCATCAGACACTTGTTCATAGTAATTTTGCATAGTAGGCAATATTGGTGCTTATTCATTTCTTTCTTTATGAATTCTGATGATTTCATTTCCCAAATATACAGAGTAACTGGACAGCAAATACTTCTCATATCTTTAAAAGTCTCTACAGAGATCAGATTTCTGTGGTGTAATAAAAGGCTATTCTAAATCTAGGATTGAGTAAGCATGTTTTTTAACTTCATATAAGTTTTCAAACAACTGCAATTTGTCTAAAAGTATTCACACAGTTATTTGGTAAAGAGTACACAAGTTATCATTGGTCAAATATAACTGTAAATTAAACTGGAGAGGAATATCTTAGTGAAGTCTGATTAGATTAGTACAGTTAACAGCACAGCTTACATACATGGCTGACCTTGAAACATCACACATACCACTGTTGGGATCTGGAGGTCATGGCGATCAGAGTAAAACTTTATACCATGCCCTTTCAGAAATCTACTTCCTAAATAAGACTGCATCAAAGAACAATGTGATGTTTCTCCCCAAATGCTTCAGGCCTCAAAGGGAGCGGGGAAGCCATAGGTAGAGGAGTGTCTGTCTGCATGCTATCCACATATATATTTGTAATACGATCATTTCATTCTGAAAAAAGTACATAATCAAAGTGAAATCTAACAGCAGATATCAAAATGGTTAGTTTCAATGTTCAAATCACAATGTAGAAATTGATTATATCAAATGGTAAATAACAATGAGTCATAAAGTCAACCGGATTACGTAAACCCCAGTAATATAACACAATTGGTGCAGTAAAAACACAAATAAGATGTGACAGCAACTTTAACAGTCGGGTTTTAACACAGAATAGTCTTATCATTGCCTTTAAAACTTTTATATTGGTGCATTCATTGAAATTTCTCATACTATTAGTGAATCAACAATATTCACTTAGTAATACCAGAATATAAACCATTAAATTATGTAAGGAAAAATACAGTGTAGATTAAAAAATACAAAATTCTCAATATGCCCCCAAACAACATTTTACCTTTGTAATCCCAAGCAGTGTGACTTGAGTGTTCACTACTATTCCATCTGACAATCTGAATTCTCAGAGATGATGCCAGAGAAATGGGTTATTCTCTAAATGCCCCAAATCACTACTCAGAACAGCAATCTATATTTAAATCTCAAGCTGCTGTGTCCCTGTGACTGCTGCACCTTACAAGCTCCAGTATGGCTGCTGGAGCCGAGGTGGGCACTGCAGCTTGCAACATGCCCCTTGTCTAACAGCCTGTCTGTTCTAACTCCCTTATTGATTAGCCTGGCACTCCCACTCCTGCCTAAACCAATGAGGTTAAGAGCACCAGATATGGAAAGCACAGTAGGATAACCTTCCACTATTTAACAACCAGGAGATACATGGCAGTCCATGACGAATAGAGTACAAGGCGAGAGAAATGTTCAGGGGGATTCCATTCTACTTGTTCCTCCTAAAAATGTAATCAGTGTTTCTCATGCATCTTTTCAATGTGTCCATAAGTCTTTCTAATAGGTGCCCCTCGTCTCCACTTCCTAACAAATCAGAATTCATAATTGAGGTCTGTATTCCCCAAATCTACTCATCCTTCAAGATTAAGCAAAGATGGCCGGCTGAGTGGATCAGTAGGTTAAGAGTTAAGAACATGAGCTCTGAGCAACAGGGCCGCTGGTTTGATTCTCACATGGGCCAGTGACACTGCGCCCGAGCTGAGCTGTCGCTGAGCTGCCAACAGGTGGCAGGATGGCTCAGCTGATGTAACAACAAGAGTGCCTATTCGACAGTGGGCTATGCCTATCTGCAATTAAGACTGAACTCGGCACCTTGAGCTGAGCTGCCACTCAGATGGCTCAGTGGATAGAGCATGCGCTCTTAACAACAAGGCTGCTGGTTCGACTCCTGCATGAGATGGTGGCTATGCCCACTAGCAACTAAGATTGAAGAGAGCACCTTGAGCTGAATGGCCACCCAGATGGCTCAGTGGATAGCGCGTGTGCTCTTAACAACAAGGCTGCTGGTTCGACTCCCGCATGGGATGGTGGCTATGCCCATCAGCAACTAAGATTGAACGCAGCACCTTGAGCTTAGAGGTCACGAGCTGCCAACGGGAAGCCAGATGGCGACTGGTGGGCTCCACAACAAAGACTGAAGAACAACAACTTGGCTGGTCCCCTTCCCCAATTCCCCAATAAAATCTTTAAAAAATAATAAAAAATAAAAAATAAAAAGATTAAGCAAAGATTACCACTATAAAGATTACCACTATAAAGTCTGGCAGAGTAAAAACCAACTTCTCCATTTTTTATACTCTTATTGCACTTTCTTATCTATCTCTACCTCAATTGTCTTCAAAGCCTGTTAGGGTACAGACCTTGGTCATATCCATCTTTGAAACCTTAGCTCCTAAAACAGCATACTCACAAAAAGAGGCACTGGAACCAAAAAACAAACCAAACCAAACCAAAACAAAACAACAACCAATGTGCCCAAGATCAAGTCTCTAAGGCCAAACCATGTCCTCTACACCCACACTTGTGCATGTGATATGATCACAAGACAAATGAGAAAAGGCAGGTAGATTCTAAATGAGGCCATGTTTCTACCAACCAGATGTCCTCAGAGTGTCATATACTCTGCTGCTTCGCTGTCTCTACTGTAGTCAGACTGACCAATTCCACAGATGCAGAAAGTCTCATCGATGCCAACAGAGAAGCAACATCCTTATAACTGGTACATTAAAAACAAGCTGAAGGTGCAGCCTGAGCTCTAATTACCTGTAATGCTCACTCATAGGAATATTCTGAGAGAAGTACAAAGCCGAAGTCCGGGCTCTCCAATGCCACTTCTTTGCAGGGAGGGTATAAAGGACACAGTTTTCCAAGTCTTCTTGGAGCAGATCCACCAGCTGTTTATGGGACCCTCCATAGAATGCCTCGATGATGAGAACACTCATTGGCCCTTTCAAAACTTCACAGATTCTAGATAATGGGCAAAAAATATATATTTTTTTCAAATATATGTATATGTGTATAAAGATTTTTTTACATAAAAATACATTCAAATATTAAACCCAAAAAGCAAATACAAATAATTTACAGACATGTTTGTTTGTTTGTTTTTTCAAATAGGCTCGTCCCACTTTTTAAAAAAGTATGTAACACTTAAGGCTTATATTTTTGTTATCAATATTTTTACATCTCTCATGTTAGTAAGAGGAAATAAAGGAGGCTTTATCTTTCTGATGTCTGTTTTCTTCATGCCCTAACATTACTTCCACAATCACTCAGTATTGTCTCCTACTCTAGGAAGTTTAAGGTCCTCTCCTGCTGTGATCACTCCCTTCCTGGGTGGAATGGCTTTGACTCTGACTCAGTAACCTTAGAACTGGCTTAGCCTATAGCTCTGCCTAGTCTTGGACAGTCATGGAACTCATCTCCTAAGACTTCCACTCCAGAAATTCTTTAACTCTGTAACTCTCATATTAATCTGTCTTTAAATTCCCCAGCTATCAATGCCCCCAATCCATATTTAGAAGAAAGCACATTCATATTCACATCTCAATTCTCTAGTGTTATAAATCTTAGGATACAATTTCTTGAGACACTGGACATACCTTGACCACTTCCCCACAAGTGTATATATCCCATGGCCAAAGAAAGATGAAAAAAGTAGGGTAAAGCTATATGCCTGCGAATGAGCAAGGTTTCTACAACCTTTCTTTGAACAACACACCCATTAGAGGGATAAACAATGTTATTTTTAAAAACATGGTAAAAATTCTCATCCAGAGGGTTGGCTATCAAGTATTTTTTTATTTTAATAATACGATTTTTGTTAATGTGTTCAGTGAAATAAAAATATATGTATGAATATAAAAACCTTTATATATATTTCAAATTATATGTTATTTCCTGTTAGAAGGATGAAATATAAATACTACATTGCTTAAAAAATATTCCAGATGGTTGAATTTTTCTTTATGACAAGTAAATGGCACTCATTAAACAGCATAGTGCTTTTCTTAATAATGTTGTGCCACAAAATAATTATTCTCAACAACTCAGTGATGCTCTTCACTAATAAAACTGTATTTCACCTTGCTCAGTCAAAGCAATGCCTAGTTAAATTGCATTTCAAAGCAAAAAGGCTCAAATAGTTCTCAAAGAAATGACTATAGTAGAAGAAAAAAAGTTTATTGGTGTCTGAATCTTCCAATGAGCATTTTGGGGGAAAAACAGACAAACAGATATTTCACTTATGTGCAGAATAAGAAGCAGTGTCCCTCAGGTGGGAAAGGCATAAACTCTGGGGTCAGGGAGATATAAGCGTGAAGTTCAGCTGTCACTTCCTAGCTGTATGACTTTGGTTTGGACAAGTTACCTAACTTTGTAGGGCTCAGTCTCGCCTTCTCTAAAATGGAGAAAGGTGTTCTGAAGATAAAATTGAAGCATAGTAACTTACAATCAGTATAAGGTATTTTGCCTCTCCCATTATTAGTATAAATCACCTTACTTAAGGAGAAAGGGTATCTTCAAATCCCCTACCATTTTAAAATCAGTAATTTTCCATCAAGAATCCCCTATCCACCAAGAACAGGTAGGGAAGGTAGATATACACATGCATCTGAAACGCAGGGGGCGTTACTCATTCCTCATCAGCAGCTTGCATTTCAAATATGATTTTGAGAGCCCTGCAGGTTTTGTAAGAGGTAAGCTCAGAGGCTGAGCTATACAGAGGCTTGATTTTTTTCAGATCAGCTGGAGACTTCAACTCTAATAATGCAATGTTCAATAAGTAAACAAACATCCTCCAAGTTTAATAAAATGGTAGTCATGAATCCTTCAAAAGATGAAAAATTCTAGAAAGTAACTAGAGAGACCAATAAAAGGCAACTTTCAAAATTATACCAAAGGTTTCAAGGAAGAACAAAGACAGTTTAACATTAATTTGCTTACTAGATCACATCACAGAGACCTACTATCTTGCTTCATTTCCTCTGACCTAATCATGCTAAGGTGTACATGTCCTGTGTATCTTTAAAAGGCCTCTAACCACATCTTGAAAAAATGTCCTCAGATATTTTCCCAAGTAATGAAATGTGATATAAATCACTCGAAAGACTATTTCACTCATATAACCTCAAACAAAGCAGCATCAATATTAGGGGGAAAAAGAGCTTTCTGATTCTTCATTACTCTGCCCTTTTCCATTTTTCCATGATTAATCTAGAGCATGTATAATGCCGTATATTTACAGATGTTTCTTATGGGTCTGAATCATGAGTTATCTGCAAACCATCAGCCACTGTGGAGGCAGTATGTGTAGGTGCTGCTGTAGATTCAAGACACTCAATAAGCAGAACTGAACACCAAGCATGTGGGAGGTTGAAAAATAGAAAAGGGGAAAAAAAGATTACAGCTATGGTAGATTTCCACCCCTTTAATAGCTCAGTAAGAAAAGTGAAATGTACAGGTTTGAACTAGCGTTTACTTGAGCATTTGTCTACTGGCCAGTGGGTGTGCCTGCACTTGGGGTATTTTTCTGGGGAGAGTAACTATGTCCTACCATCTCTGAAAACTATACTTAGTGGCTTTGATTCATGGAAATTTGTTCTGCTTGTTTTGTGGAGACAGACATATCCTGGCAGTGCCCCCACTTACTTCTATTGCAACTTCTGCGGCAAGAAAACGTGTTCTTCCCTGTGGTCTTCTAACAGCACAACCTGGAAGAAAGATGATTCCCATTAGGTGCAAGCAATAGAGGGGAAGCTGATCTTTAAATATAAGATTCAAACCAAATGTCCTCACAGCACATTAAAGAATAGTTCAAATACTTAAGCTGTGCTGAGTTTTGTTTTAGAAAACACGGCTTGAAACAAATAAACATGAGGCTAAAAAAAAAACCAAAATACTTTGTTAAAAAAGAATTTTTGTGGGCCAGCCGAATGGCACATTGGTTAAGAACTGGTTTGGGATGCCAGAGGGCCTCAGTTCGGATCCCACATATGAGGGCCAGTGACACTGC